ATATATATATATATATATATGTAGATAGATATATGGATATAGTTATTGTATAACGTCCCTCTTTCTCTCTCTCTCTCTGTATAATAACTGTGAAGGATTAAAAAAAAAAAAAGAAATATTACAAAATAACGAGAAGAAAAAAAAAAAAAAACGTTGGATTTCTTTTTTTTTTCTTTTATTTTTGCAATATTAATCTTCTCTTTTATATGAACCGTATTGAAAAATAATCCCCCTTTACTTGCAGCTGCGGTAGAGCACCTGACAATGCCATTCTGAGGAATGGAAAAAAAAAAAACAATTGGATGGAGAAAACCAATACTAACACTAAGAAAAAAGAAGAGAACAAAAGAGAAGGAAATAAAATAAATAAAATAAAGGAGTGTATTTTTCTTCTTTTCTCTTCTTTTCTTTCTTTCTTTCTTATTTTTTTTCTCATATATATATATATATCGAAGCCTTTCTTCTTATCATTTCCCTACAGAGAAGGACCCCCCCCTCTCTCTTTCTCTCTATCTATTAATAGAGAAATACAATTAACTTCTCATTACATGCAAACTATACAGAGAAATATATTATCATCATCACATAATAATAATAATAATAATAATAATAATCATCATATTCATCATCATCGTAATCATGTGGAAACTCTCTTTTCTCAACTCGAGCAAAGTACACGTAATCCTGTGAAACTCTACCGTCGTCTCCTGCGGCATGCTGTTACTCAACTCGATAGTGTATTAACAGAGAGAGAAGAACTGCAGGGAGAAGTGCGGTATTTACAATGGAGACATGAGGAACAGGAGAAGCGACTAGAGAGTTTATTAAAGGAATTTCACATGTTAAGAGAATATGTACAGCATAATCTCCATTTAACACAGGATAAAGGATCTAAAGAGAGAAAAGTAGGAAAAAGTACTTTTCTCTCTTTAGATCCTTTATCCACAATGTCAACATCGATAGTATCATCAAATAGATCTACAAGAAGAAGTAAGAAGGTTTATCCTTGTGTAGATGAGAAACAATATGCAGGCGTGGGTTCCACACCATCTCCTTCCACTCTATCCACTTCATCCCTACAGAGTTTGACAAAGGGTAATAATAATAATAATAATCATACTTATAATAATAATAATAATAATAATAAGGCTTGTTTAACAGAGATGGAAAAGGATAGTCCAATGATGGAACAAGTTTTAGGAGATTTATTTCTCTTCATTATGAACACCGAGAAGAGTGTAAATGAGGAGGATGACAATATAAACACAAAAACATATAAACTTCATGGAAATGCCAATGGATTATATGAGGCGGTGAAAGCATCTATTCGACTCTTTAAGAAACGAGAGGCCACACTACGGAATCGTGTGAAGAGATTAGAAGAAATGATGGAAAAGAATGAAAAACAGAGATTGAATACTCGCATGAAGGCAAAAGATCACACAAGATCGGAATGGCGGCGAAACTGTAAAGAAGAAGAAGAAGAAGAAGAAAATATATTATTATCATTATCATCACCGCAGACTTCTCCAGTAATGACGGTACCGGTTAGAGATAATAATAATAATAATAATAATACTCATCATTATCATTATAATAATAATAGTAGTGTTGAGATGCATGATAGTAATAATGATACTGATAGTATTGATACTATTCGTGGTGTTTGTGATGTCATACCTCCCAGTAGTTCGACGTGTTCTTCTCCATCTTCCTTCTCTACTCGCATCTATCCTTCTAATAAAAATAATAATAATAATAATAATAATAATAATAATAATAATAATAATAATAATAATAATAATAATAATAATAATAATAATAATAATAATAATAATAATAATAATAATAATAATAATAATAAAGAAGAAGAGGAAGAAGAAGAGGAATGTATGACCACATTAGAGATGTTGGATGCTGAGAAGAAGAGAAGGAGGAGTGATGGATTACACTGTGAAGATGAGAAGACATTAAATGATCTTGTGGGCGAAGTGGAGTTTATGGAGTACATGAACTGGAAGCGGGGATTCCTGCAGGAACTTGTTTCTAAGGAATAAGGAAAAAAAAAAGGGAAATGATCCATCTATATATATATATATATATGTTTATTGTTTGTTTCTATGTATATGTAAATGCAAAGAATAGTGAAAAAAGTTCTTTTTTTCTTTTTAATTTATCTGTTGGTGTTTCTCTTTTGACCCTCTTTTATATATATATTTCTTATGTTTATTTCTATTCTCTCACTCTCACTCTCTCTCTTTCGCCTGTAAACAAAAAAAAAAACATAAACATAAACATTAAAAAGGAGAAAAGAAAAGGGAAGATAAACCCACACGCACACCCACAGAGAGGAAAGAAAAAGAAAAAAAAAAAGAATGACAGCTGCTGCAACCTTATTTCAGCGTAATAAACGCATTTACATACAGGAAGAAGATAAACTAGAGAGTATTCTCTCAGATGATACCTTTCAACAAAAGTTCCAGCAATGGTTGGATAGCACAATAGCCCAATTAGATGTTCAGTTTGAGTTATGTGAACAACAACTCTCTGAACTCCAGCAAAGTGTTGCGGTAGAGACAGGAACGTATTGGTGTAGTAAAACTATTATTGAACACTGCAATCTACACATGAGTGAAAAACGGTTAATTGTCGCCGGTTCAGATGTAGAGAATCCCGCAAGTTTACCAGATCTCGTTAATCTTATTTCATGTCTACAGCAATTAAAAATACAGGCTTTTATTACGCCTAAGCAAAGAAGATTTATTGAACAATGTGAGGCGGAGTTAAAGAATGTGGTATTTGAATCTCGAGAATTACTTTTTATTACGAATGCCTTACAAACAAAACTTCGTGATGATGGAAATACACGTGGGGTATTTGGAGATTTAACAAATTTTCAAAATGCGATTGAGGATCTTTCACCGGATATTGATCAATGTGAACAATTACTAGAGGCTAGTATTGCCAATGGAGAGATGGGACTTGCGGAGGATATTTCCCGTCGACAATTGGAGATTTATGAACGGATTTTAACTCTCATTACCGATCAATATCCAATCATTACGAATTATTATACGGAATCTCGCGATAGTGATAGACGTCGACGTTGGGCTATTTTTCGAATGGCCGATAAAGATATTACAGCCGTGATTGAAGGAAAGTATAGACAAATTGAGGCCTGTGAGGAGGATCTTCTTAAGATAAAGGAACAAATTGAGAATTATAATAATGATGATTCTCATCAGAAGAAACGGTATGAATCGGATTGTAGTCTCTCAGATGATTATTTACAAAAGAATAAAGAAAAACAACAAAGTGTATGGAATCGTATTTTTGAATTATATGAAGAAATGCGAAAATGTCAACAAGAGTTAACCACACTTGGACGACAACGACGAAAAGAAATTGATCGTCGTTTACAAATGGAAGAACATGAGGCTGGAAGACGTAGTGGACATCAGGCATTTATTAAAGCCGCCGCCGATCATGCACAGAAATTACAAGCGATGATTAATAACGCCCTCGCTGCGAAAGATCTCGCCACGGCATTAAATAATTTTGTATTGGATGGTTGTGATAGTATTACTGGTAAATATGATAAACAACAAAATGCCCTTAGTGAGATGTTACGATTGGTTCAACAACATCACTTTAAACGTTTCTCAGATTATTATATTGTGGCCAGTCGTTATTTATACCGTAAAGAAAGACGATTAGAACAAATTGAAAAGGAAATTGAAAATAATGAGATGAAAAAGGAAATCCTTACAGATGCATTAGATACAAATGCGAAACGATATGCAGAGATTAATAATGATTTACTTCTCAAGAGAAGAGGAGTCTCGCAGGAAGTTTTATACATTCGACACAAACTGGAAAAGGCAGAAAAGGCAATTGAACCAACATTACGATCTTTACAATTTGCCGGTGTAGAGTATGTCCATCCACGAGATATTGTAGAGAAAATTAATCTCAATCGCTGCAGTACTATTCTGGATTATCGTGAGTTTATGAATCCTTCTATTTCTTTTAATGAAAAGATTCAAAAGGAGGAATTAAAAACTCTCTTACATCTCCGCTCCACCCTGGAAGCAGAGAAGAGTGAACGGGAAAGTCAACAACAATTACGTTTACCCGTTATTCCTCCATCTCAACAAAGTGCCCTGCAGAGACGTGTGAATGCATTATTGGAAAAACGATCAAAGGATGAAGTGCGAATGCCGACACTCACAAATACTACTAATACCAATACAAATATTACTAATACTACTTCAGATGATGTAACGAGATCTATTGGAGGAATGTATGCAAAGCCAATCTCTGTGGGAGCCCCATCTACACAAACCAACACAACCGCCGCTAATAATATGCATATGCATATGAATAATAATAATAATACAATGGCAGCTACAACAACAGCAGCGGCTTCAACAGCAACAGCAACAGCAACAACAATGGGAGAAATGAAGGCAGACACTACCGGAGCGGCGATGAATGGAAATGTTGGGATTAACGCCTCCTTACGTCCACCAACATCACAACAACAACAGCGAATGGAAGGATCTACCATGCGGGCACTTTATTCATATAAGGCCCGGGCTCCAGATGAGTTAACATTTGAAAAGGGAGATTTGATTGTTTGTGTCTGTCGGGCTCAAGAGGAGGGATGGTTTAAAGGCGTATGTAATCAACGGACAGGATTATTTCCTATCAATTATGTGGTCTTGTGTGAAGATGATGTGTGAGGGGTATATATATATATATATAGACACCTACAGTATTGGGTGAGTGAAGATCAATGTGTTTGTGTGTTTGTGTGGATCTTATTTTCCTTTGATACTATTGAAGGCAGGAAGGAGAAATAATAATAATAATAGTGATAGTGATAGTAAAAACAACAAGAGGAAGAGCCAATAGTATTTAAAGAAAGAAAAAAAATGATGCAGAGAAAGTTTATTGAAAAAGAAAAGAAAAGAAAAGAAAAAAAAAGAAGGGGTGAGTTGGGGATTAAAAGGAAAAAAAAAGAACATTTGATGAGACTTTCATTTTATTTATTTATTTATTTGTTTCTTTTTTTACTTTTATTTTCCTGTTGTTGTCCTTCTTCTTCTTACCATTGTTTTCATACTGAGAGTGGAATTTTACTTTATTTGTACGATGTATTATATCAATATATATATATATATATAT